GGAGGTCTGTTCTTAACCTGAAACTGTTCTTAACCTGAAGCACCACTTTAGCTAATGGGGCCTACTGCTGCTGCTGCTGCGCCGCTGCTGCTGCACAATTTCTGTTCTCGTCCTGAAGCAAAGTTCTTAACCCAAGGTACTATTTTTGGGTTAGCGGAGTCTGTAACCTGAAGCATCTGTAACCTGAAGTTTATGTAACCCGAGGTACCACTGTACTTGCTACAAACCCCAAGGAGACTTTTCAAGCGGCTTCTGTATGAAACAAAAAGCAGGATAAAGTTACTGAGTGGATGCGTTTAGGGAAGCAGATGATTGAAGCTGAACTGTAAATACTGCAGTTCAGAGATGATTATCAGCAGATTAGGAACAGAGATGCCTAAAATGAGTTACAGTAAAATCGAGCAATGGGTATGCGAGAATGTTAAGGAAGGTAGGAGAGGATATATTGTTTTGATATTATCCCTCCTTACTAATACTCACCCTAGTGAGTAAACAGCAGAGCACATTCCCTTTGCAACTTATTGGAAGCAAGCTGATGATTCGTTAGAATCCTTTAATTAAGCAATCCAGCCTGGCTTGTCCCTGGTAAGTTTCCCCTTTATTTCCCTCTTAAAATAATAATAACACAACACAGTCTTCTTTAAAAGTAAGAACAAAGTTTTACTCACACTCAGCCCACAGCAGTAATCTGAAGGCAGGCTTTATCTTGGGGTTACAGTGAAAAGAAGTCTGAGCTACATTTCAGACTTCTGCTTGTGGGCTCCATCGCATGTGAAGGTTGAGCCATGCGCTGGCTAAGAGCCAGGAGAGCAAGAGTCCAAGAGTAAGGGGGAGATGGTTGCGTGACCAGCCCTTTTATCTGGTCAGCTAGGGTCATGCCCATCTCCCTGATCACACACAGGACATCCTCCCTGTCTCCCTTGTCTGGAGCCACATTCCCCTATGGGTCCATTATAGGCAACAGGAAAATGACTGCTCTAGTAATAATAACATCCCACAGGATATGGAGTGGTGTGGATGTGAGTTGAAGATGTTTATGCAGGGTCCTTTAACTACTGTTGCAAGAGCAATGTAGATTTAAGACTTCTTTGACACAGTCATCTCTCACTCTCAGCTCTCAGCTCTCCTCCTCATGGACCCACTCTCTGCCCACACAAACCCCCATTCAGGTTCTCGCTCTCCTCCTCCCACCAGACCCACCCTCTGCCTGCATAGTTTGGGGAAGGAGGAAGAAGAGACTGAATACATGAAAAAGGCATCGAAACAGGATGATCTCAAACAAATGATCACGTTTTTCTAGGGACAGGTGGCAACCCTGGTTACACATGACAATACCAGCCAGTGTTGTTAACTTCTGCGCATATATACCCAACTAAGCACCAAGGCCGTTGCTAACTGTTCTGGTACATGTGTGAGCATTTCCATTACTAAAGGTGTTTATACCTCCACCAATGAGCAACCCTGTAGGATATAATGCCATACAGTGTATGGCACGTGTGACAATTTTGCACATTCTTTGTGTGTGCTGCATTGCATTGCATTGCATTGCATTGCATTGCATTCTGTTGTGTCCTATGTGGTGCTTGTGATGTGGGGAGTACATTATCTAATGTCTGCATGTGTTCTGTCCTATTTTATTTTGTTCTGTTTGGCATATGTATTGTCTTGTGTGTTATTGAAGAATAGCTCAGCCGGTAGAGCACGAGACTCTTAATCTCAGGGTTGTGGGTTTGAGCCCTACATTGGGGAAAAGATTCCTGCATTGCTGGGGGTTGGACTAGATGACCCTCATGGCCCTTTTCAACTCTACAATTCTATCTTTTATACCTGCTTAATTCTCACATTGGAGTAAACAGCATTTAGACTATGCACGTTTAGTTGAGAGAAAGCCATGGGCATAGCCATGGGGGTGGGAGGGAGGCAGCTGCCCCCTCAGTCAAGTAAATAAATAAAAATACTTGTAACTAACTGACCAACTGCATTGCAAATCAGTGGCGTAGCGTGGGGGGTGCAGGGGGGGCCGGCCGCACCGGGCGCAACATCTGGGGTTAGGGCAAATCCACAGGTTAGGGGGCGCAAATCCACGGGTTAGGGGGTGCAAATTACTTCCCTTGCCCCGGGTGCTGACAACCCACGCTACGCCACTGTTGCAAATAACTTGGTTCTGCCCCCCTCTAAAACAAATCCTTGCAACGCCCATGGAGAAAGCCCAATCAAATTAAATGGGAACTACTTCTGAATAGATCTCCATAGGACTGTGCTGGTAAGGGGTTTACTTTCATTGGCTCATGCCCTAAATCTCTTCTCTTTTTTTAGACTCAAAATATTTCTTTTTGTTATGTGTCATGCTGGAGCACACCTGCAATTTGGCCTCACAAAATCTGAAGACATTTCAGAACTACAGAGGAAAGCCTCTTCCTCTAGCTTACTAGCAGTAAAAAGGTTCTGAAATGGCACCGCATGTACAACCTTTTGTTTATTATGGAAACACTTTAATCGCAAATGAAGTCAATTATCTAAGCAGCTGGAGTTGAAAATGTGAACAATGGAATAGTGACATTCCTGGATTTGCATGTAAAATGCTTGATTGGTAATGAAGAGATCAACTACAATCAGGGTCAAAGAATATTATTCTAGGCATTCTACATTTAATCCACTAAAAGCAAAGAAACCTGGAATACTCAGATCTCTCAGGAACAATTCACACATTGCTTACATTTAAAGTGCTTAGGACCCCTTTATGTTAAGATTCACTTATATGAAATGCATTTAATTAAAAATGTTTAGAATCCATCTTATATAATTATCCTTCAGAATCTACTGAGCTGCCTTGCTGAACCGTATAAAAACAAAGCTATTTCAAACAAAACGAAAGAGCAGCAGTAACAGAGCACAGCATTCCCAGATAAGGAATAAGGACGGCTAGTTGTATTCTGAACCTAAGGCCCTCTGAATTTGCAGAGCCTTAGCCTGTCAACCCAAGCATGAATCAGGTGAATATTTCCTGGGAAGGTGATTAGGTGCCACCCCTGAAAGGACTCTGTTTCACATTGCCACACACGGCATATCAGCATCACACCTGAGGCTCCATCTACTCAGTCGCTCTCTTTGCTTTGCCAGCACGAGTGCAACGAAAGACAGAAAGATAGACCTGGAGAGGGGAGAGATTCATTCTGTTAAAGCTCCAGCAATATTTTCAGAACCCTAGCAAGGGAGCCAGAGGTTACAAACAGGGGTAGTCAATGTTGTGAACTACAACTCCCATCATCCCTGATTATTGGCCATACTGGGTAAGGCTGATGGGAGCTGCAGTTCAATGATAGCTGGAATGTTGACTACGGTACAACCTCCCAAAAATTTTCTTTAGACTCTCATGCCTATAGTGCTGGACGGTGGGGGGGGGGGGTGCTAGCTTGCTGGGAATGCCTAACTTTCTAATGCCTGCAAGCCACAAAAATGCTGAACTTCAACACTTGCACTGGCTGGAGCTCTGTAGGCTTAAATAATAATAATAACATCCCCATAGACTTTCTCCTGCCAAGAGCAGGACTGCCAGGTTCTGCGTATGGCCATTATTATTGCTTTGTTCATATACATAAAAGCCGAGACATGGTCTGGGACACAGTGGTAAAATGCTGGGAGCTGGTTCATACTTGGGGGGGGGGAGTGAAAAACAGACTGTTAATATTAATGTACACTGGCAAGAAAGTTCTAGTAATTTTTCCATGCAGGTGCAGACATGGCTGTTCTTGCACCCAGCTTTGATTCCACGCCAATACAAGCTGTTGTTTGCTGGCAAAGGACGGTTGCTAAACGGAGATACTTTTGAGTACTGAGATTTTAATTTTTTAAAAAAAGCAAAGCACAGACTCAATCCCCCCTCTGGTCAAGCTGGAACATGGCCTGGTTTCTTTCTTTAATTTATTAGTCTAAAAAATAGTCAATACTGTATCTGCAATTGCAGTTGCAGATAACAACACTAATTAGCATCACCTTTCACCAACAATATCTAATAACAGATAGGTAGCCGTGTTGGTCTGCCATAGTCAAAACAAAAAAAATTCCTTCCAGTAGCACCTTAAGTTGGTCTTTAAGGTGCTACTGGAAGGAATTTTTTTGTAATATCTAATAAGTTAGTTTCATTTATTTAAGACAAGTCAATGATGAGAAAAAATGTTTGAGTTCTGGCTTTAATGGTCTGTTGGTGCATCTATTGCAGAGCAAGTCACAATTAGGTGTTCTTGTCTCTGAAAAGCTTCTAGAATACTACTAATGACTGGTTGGACCTGGACTGCATGGTCTCCTTGCAATGGCATATGGAAGCAAAGCTTGTTTTCTAAGCATTTCACCACAACCATGAGAACTAGACCCTTTATTCTATTTAAAAAACATTCCTGAACTTTTCAGTATTTCAGATTCTGCAACAACTTCCATGATAAAGCCCAGATGCTTTCAGAATAACAGCCATTAAAATATCAGGGTTTGATGACAGCTTCCTTCCTATATTTATTCTGCAGTGTATCACCATTCAGATTGAAAAATCCACAATAGGACAATATTTTTCTTAGGACCAGAGAAAGTAGTGAACAAATTTTCTGATACTTCAGAACTCTTTAAAGCTTTTCAATTATTTTGTAAGTTGAATTTCTCTGAAGAGCCAACACAACTCCCTTTACTTTTTGTCATCCAGATTGCTTTTTTACTTTATTTTTTGTACACAGCTAATGACTATGCACAAGTGTCTTACTTCATTTATTTATGGATGTTGGTATTGATAATTAGAAGGCATGAGGAGTGATCTCTATCACTACATAGTGACTGGTAATTCAACATATAGAAGTCTGGAACAAGTTGTTTCAGGAGCAATGCATTATGTGACCACAGCTGATTTAGTTTGCTTTACCACACCACTCCAGAATAAGTGATTTAGGACTTTTAACAAACCTGTTCCTCTCTATAAAGCACTTGACATTTTCCATTAAAAGGATAATTAACTTGAAATTGGTGACAAGTGCAACAATTGAATGCACATTAGAGTTAGTATATCTATCATCACTACTGGTTATTCAGGAGGTGTAAGACAGAAGTTAGTAAGCAAGATGAATGAAAAAGGGATTAGTAATTTTGAAAGATTTGTTAAAATTTGTTTTTGGCTGGCTATCTTCTTTTATTGGGTAAGTTACTTTTAGTGGCATATTTAGGTTTTGTGTTGAAATGTAGTGATTTGAGTAGAAGCTGTATAATCTATTACATAGCTTTTTTGTTGTTGAGTGAAACATTCTTTGTGCTTACAAATTGAATTGTGTCTGTGTGCAATCAGCTTCTGGTTTTGTTTTAGTTGTTCTACTGCTGTGCTTTCCAATAATTGTATAGATTTGTAACTGCTATAGGTTAGAAGTCTTAAGATGTCACTGTAAGGTTTCTGTGTAAAAAGTACTCTAGATAATTCTCTAGCAACCTTTCAAGTTGCACAGTGTTAATGAACATAGCCTCTTTTAACATGTTAAAATAGTTCTATTAAAATCTGCTTGGTCATCCAGTGTTGTTTAACAAAAATTATACACTCCCAGTTTTTGAGATAATAAGGCTGTAATCCTAACCCCAATTAGTAAAACCCATTGTGTTCAATAGGACTGGGTTCTTAGTAGGAATCATTCTTCTTTTTATTATTATTATATTTATTGCATTTATATCCCACCATTTTTCAAGGAGTTCAAAGTAGCATACGTGGCTCTTCCCCAACTCAGTTAATCCTCATAACAACCCTGTGAGGTAGGTTAGTCTGAGAGGCGGTGACTAGACTAAGATCACCCAGCGAGCTTCATGGCAAACTGGAGATTTGAACCCTGGTCTCCAAGGTCCTAGTCCAACATTTTAACCACACTGGCTCCCCTTGTATTGAGACATAATGAGAAAGTCAGACTTTCCTATTGGCCTCCTTCCTAAAAAGAAGTGCTTATGCAACACAAAACTTAAGAAAAAGGATGAATACAAAACTGATTGTATTTATATTGAGATAAAGAGGTGGTATGGGTGAAACGGAAAGGCAGTCCAAGTCCAGGCCCTCCATGATGCAACTTAGAACTGGTAAAAAAACAAAGCCTGAAAGAGTACTGTACTGATATAAATTAGCTTTTATATTCTACATAGGAACAGCCAGCCCATGCAGGGTGATACACCAAGGCTTGATCATTTGCAATCAGATTTACAATGGGGAAATTAAAGCAGTCCTTAGTGCAGAGACTAGGGGGCAATTTAACAAGTTACACAATGCTTGTTTGTCATTTTCTAAATTATTATTATAAACTGTGACTAATATGCATGTTTCCTCAAGAGTAAGCTTTCACAGCTTCTTTTATTGACTCTTAACATTCTAGGTCTCTGGAGTTTTGTTAATGTGCATTGGAGTATCTGTTCAGGTGAAGCTCCGTGATATCTATGTAGTGATAAATGATGCTGCTTCAAAAGTCCCTATGATCATAACAGTTATTGGCACACTTGTCGTCCTTTCGTCAGCTTTTGGGAAAGTTGCTCTACTAAACCGCAGTCCTAACTTGATCAAATTGGTAAGTAATGATACCCAGATTTCTAAGTCAGATCCAAAGCATGAGTAGGCCTTTAAATTTAGCTTAACCTCTACCCTTCTGAAGGCACAGAGGAGGGCTGGGTCAAGAGATGCCATACTGTAATTGATTTTTTTTTTTTTTTAAGTTGCAGTGCTTTCTTAACTGGGTTGTGTAATTCAATGGGGATGTGCGCTTAGGTCTCTCACCCATTCTTTTAATTCCTTGTAATACCCACAGGAAGAACTATGCTAGGCAACCGTCCTGACAACCACAAATAATAAATGTATTGTTGCCTAAGCATAAGAAATAGGCAAGAAATAAACTAGTAATCTTGCACAATTGATTTCCCCACCCTCACTCAAAACAGATTAGGTTCAGAGCAAACGGTATAATGACCCGTCTTTAGAGCAAGTAAAAAACTTCTGAAGACCATAGGCCATGTACAGTGGAACCTCGGATTAAGTACTTAATTCGTTCCGGAGGTCCGTACTTAACCTGAAGCACCACTTTAGCTAATGGGGCCTCCTGCTGCTGCTGCGCTGCCGGAGCACGATTTCTGTTCTCATCCTGAAACAGAGTTCTTAACCTGAAGCACTATTTCTGGGTTAGCGGAGTCTGTAACCTGAAGCATATGTAACATGAAGCGTATGTAACCCGAGGTACCATTGTACACATTAGCCATTATTCTGCCTCTATTGTATTCCCATTCCTGGCTTGCGTGTACACACCACATTACCCACAATGCAGAGCTATCCTATGGTTTATTGAGGAAAAACTGCTGTTTAATGTGATTTCCCTCAAACCAGCTTCAATCCAAAAGGCAAATTAAGCCACATTCCATTCGCAGACAAGCTGAGTTGTGTAACTTTGAGACATCCATTGCAAATTCACAGATGGCAGCGTGTGTGCGGATGACGACTTCATGAATGGGAATTGGAGGGGGTACCAAACAGGTATCCCTGCCACCTCTCTGGTGTACTTAGCAATGTGCAAATGCATTGTGTTTTAAGCCGCTAATGTGTACATATCTTATATGAAGGAGTTTTTGAGTATACTTTGTGATAAGTAAAAAAAATCCTCCCTATGTAGGTAACTGTTCTTCATCTCAAACCCTGTTCTCTTGTTCAGCTGGGAAAACTACTCCATCCGAGTGTGTGCCTGTTGGCTTTTAATACTGGACACATGCCCCAAAATATGTTGTTTTAGAAGTGAACATATAAACAGTGGTATACACTTTAACCACAGCAGGTTAATTTACCATGTATGGACCTGAAGGCTGAACTTGGATATGATCAGCCATTTGATTTTGACTATTCCTAAGTGTGACTTCATCTCTTAATCTATATTGGTGCCAGTGATAATGGACAAAATGTTGAATTTGGCTCTGTAGGCATCATACAATCAACTTGGCATCTCAGATAAATTAAAATTAGACTAGGGGATGTGGGAGACCTGGGCAGATAAATAAGAAAAAAATGAGGGCACCAATGCAATTTTCTGCAAGTATTTTTTTAAAAACCACTTAGCACAATCCTGATGTTTGTTGTTGTTGTTAAGAAAATGACCTTAAAGCTGAAAGCAACTCTTCGTTTCTAGTTCATAGGCATATTGTTGGTACTGTTGGTACTTGAAATCACAGCTGGTGCTGCCGCCTACACTTACAGACATAAGGTAAGTTTTGTGCCAAAACAAGGCACCACCTTAAATAGTTTTTTGGTGATGTTGGAAAGATGTAGAACTAGAGTCTTACCTAAAGTCAATATTCTCAAAGAGAAGTGGGCAATTGCAGTAAGTGGGATGGACACATATTTTATTATTTCAAACTGATGCATAACACTCCTGTGCTTACCACCTTCCACAGCAAGGAGGTATTTCTTTCCTTCTCTGTCCCCCTCCAATAAAACAAATGCCTTTTTAAATAAACGTTCCCAATCCAATACCATAGCTTGTGCTTGCAGCCTCTGCCCTGTATACCTGAAGGAGCGTCTCCACCCCCAGCTTTCAACCTAGACACTGAGGTCCACCTCTGAGGGCCTTCTGGCAGTTCCCTCACTGTGAAAAGTGAGGTTACAGGGAAGCAGGCAGAGGGCCTTCTCAGTAGTGGTGCCCTCCCTGTGGAATGCCCTCCCATCAGATGTCAAGGAGATAAGTAACTATACAACCTTTAGAAGACATCTGGAGGCAGCCCTGTATAGGGAAGTTTTTGATGTTTAATGATTTATTGAGTTTTTGTATTTGCTGGAAGCCGCCCAAAGGAGCAACCCAGTCAAATGGGTGAGGTACAAATAATAATAATTAATAATTAATAATTAATAATTAATAATTACTGCTGAATTGTCCCCTCGGTCACATAGCCTACCTGCCCATGTGTCTTACTTTTGGGCAGCAGGTTTAGAAGACTACTCCAACCTGAATTTGCCAATATGTGATTGAATCCCACCTGCAAAATAGCCTGAAAACCAGCCGTGGTCTACTAATTCATGTAACTGGAACAGGCCTTTTGGTCAAAACTGGTGTGGAATGAAGAGATCTTCCCAGTCCTGAAGCCCATGTTCTTAGTCTGAAGCACATACTATTTGCTTCAGTGGATAGAAGTAGGATTGATTCTGGTGGGGCAAGTCTTCCCTGGTTATCCTCTATACGTGTTGGTCTCCACCTACAGAAGGCCTTCAGGTTATTCCTCTAATTTGAGAGGGTGGTCCTGATGTGGTTCTTTTATATTTGCTTTATAAATGCTTCATAACACATCATTCCATTTTTAATTAAATCTTCAGCATTGAATTGAGTTTTTCTTGGGATATTTAACTGTGTGTAAGCTTTTAACTGCCTACAATGTGCTCAATAAATATGGAATAGAAAGGCTGAGGGAGAAAGTATGAAAATAATTTGTCTTGGCTACATTTCCCAATTGGTAAGGTGGACAAACCTCAGAAAGCAAATGAGTTAAACCAGAAGTCTTGCAAGAAACATTAGTGCCAGTCATGTCTTCATAGGGTTTGCCACTAAACTGAAACACCAGAGAAAATACGGAAACACTTCTGCACAATGTTAGACTATACCACAGATGGTCCCCATTTTTTCTCCAGAGCTAGTGTAAGAAGTGCTTCCTTAACCAAAATATGTAAATGGGTTTCCATTCCTGCTTCTGCCTTGAGTGAGACCCTATGTGTTGCAAGTTGATGTACAAAGGGGGTGTTAGCTTGGAAGCAGTAAAGTAATATGCAGTCTAGTAATTATGCTTGGAACCTTGTAACTTGTTAATGACCCACCTGTTGAATGTGCCAGTGTCTCTCAGATGTTTGAATTCCCCTTTCTCTTCCTTACCTGCCACACAGAAAAGATATTGTGTAGTCCTAATTTAAGTGATTATTTTAGATGGATCCTTCTAGCATACCAAATGCTGTTCTTGCCTAAACTTTCATTTCCTAAACTTTCATGGCCAGAATTGTGGGAGCCAAGCTAAGTGGAGGGAAAGGGCCCACTCAGTAAAAGTCCAATTGATTGATTAAGACACAACTTCCACTTGTGTGCTTGAAGTCCTTTCATAAAAAGAAATGGTTCTCCTTAGCTCTACCCCCCTCCATGCAAATTATTTTCTCCTGCCTTTGGAAAACCCTGTGTGTGTTAATGCAGTTGCATCAGACTTTGTTGAGCGATACCTTGAAGACATTGGACAAATATAATGAAGAAGTGCAGATCACCAAAGGGGTGGACTCTTTACAGACAGAGGTAAGCAAACTTTCTTTTCAATTATAAAGAGCAGAGAACTAATGGTGAAGCCCAGTATTCTGGTAACATTTAAGAAGCTCAAGCGGGAATAACAATATATTTTTTCAGTCTTTCTATGTTGCCATCTAAAGGCTATCGGATTAGACCAGAAAACCCACTGGTTCTGGAAAGAAAAGGGAAGAATCCCTCTAAGTCAAGGAGGCACAACTTTGAAGATGGCATGATAGAATGATAGCTTTTTGAGATTTTCTGTCCCACCATTTTCTCTGGTTGAAAAAGACTTTGTAGGGCTTAAAATAAAACCCTTGCAAAACCTGTCTGGCTAGAGTTGACAATGGGAATAAAAGAAATTAGTATTCACCCTATGGCTGTGACAAATTGTCATAGCGCCTTCAGATTACCTGTTTAGCAGAATAGCATATTAGTATAAGTATTAGTATAAGTAGAATCTTTCTTCATACTTTTTGTTGTTGTCAAGAAGAGTTGTTAGGCTTTCATCAACAACCACACTGCTTACCAACCTAAATTCCTTTCCCTTCCACTCTAGTTCCAATGCTGTGGTGCAGAGAACTATACCGATTGGCTGAACACAACATTTGGATCTCTCTCTTCATCTGTCCCAATAAGCTGTTGCAGAGTACCTGTGGAAAACTGCATCACAGATCTAAGCAAAGACACAGCAGGCATTAACCAGCAGGTAAATGTCATATTGTCAAAAACCACATCTTGCATGTCTTGTCTCTTAAGGGAAATGTGTGTTTGAAACTAATATCCTTCAAAGTGGGCAACCAGTTAGGGATGTGCTAGCAAATAAAATGGGCTAGAGCCAGGCGAAAACTAGAGTGCAAGTCTCCCTCTAAAGTCAACCAAACACAGATTAGTGCACATAATCATGTCTACCAAGTGGCAGTGTGGTCCGTGATGTGGGCACATTTTGCAGCCAGCATTGCAGCCTCCAGTAGCCAACCAGCAGAGTTATTTAAGGTGGTCCAGAGATTGCCGATTCCCCTTGTGGGGGAAGGGCCCCCTGGAGCCTTTGAGGGCCTACTGTGAACAACTGGCTGCACATTGTGAGGATAAAGTCACCCTACTTCTGAATTATCTTGACTCTGCAGCTTCAGTTGAAGCATCCAATTCTATAGTCTGTGACATGTTGTGGAACTGATTTCAGATTATGTGGCCTGATGATGTGGACATATGTATAGGGAAGTTTTTTAAGGTTTAATGTTTTAGTAAGGTTTTTATATACGCTCAAAGCCACCCAGAGTGGCTGGAGCAACCCAAACAGATGAGCAGGGTACCAATAATAAATTGTTGTTGTTATTTGCTTGTGGCTATATGCCCAACCATGTGTCCTCTTGACCCCCCAACCCCTGGCTATAAGGCATAGTAACATTGGGAGTGTGTTTTTTGTCTCCCTTGGAGTTCTGCTACAGAGGAGTACAGGGCGCTATTTTATTCCCAGTGCTATAATAATCTATATGGAGCTGTTGAGAGTGAAATTAGGAGATTTGGAACAAGATGCCATCGGTATGCTGATGTCATTCATCTATGTCTCCATAAAATCTGAACTGGGAGAGGCCTTGTGAGCCCCAGACTGGTGCCTAGATGTACTGGTAGACCAGATAAGGTAAAATAAACTCTGTCTTAGCAAGATAGAGGTGCTCTGAGTGAGTGGTTCCCGCCTCTGAGAAATTGGTCAATTCCCATCTCTAGGTACTCCCTCTGAAGGAGCAGACTTGCATTCTGGGGGTGATTTTGGAGTCAGCTGTGTGTCTGGAGGCCTAGGTAGGAGCAAATTTTTCAACTCTGTGTGGCAAGCTGCCAGCTGTTCCTGGACTGGTATAGCTTAACAAAAAGTAGTCCAAGCCACATATAAATACTGAATTAACTTGCAATGAACTTGGATGTGTTGCTCCTGTTTGTGCTTGGGTCTAGAAACTGAATGGAATGGCACAATTGCTGAACCAGGAGGGAGACCTATCAGCACATTAACTGCACATCTGCACTGGCGCATTTGACCAAATTAAGTTCACTATACTATATAATAGTGGTAAAAGCTCACTAGGCTTGCACGAAAGGTCGAGTCGAATCCTGCAGCGGTGCTTCCAGTCGTTGTTACCAGTGGCCAACATACAGTTCAGAAGACCCCGGTGCAAGTAGATAAATAGGGACCGCTTACAAGCGGGAAGGTAAACGGCGTTTCTGTGTGCGGCTCTGGCTCGCCAGAGCAGCGATGTCACGCTGGCCACGTGACCTGGAAGTGTCTCCGGACGGACAGCGCTGGCTCCTGGCCTATAGAGTGAGATGGGCGCACAACCCTAGAGTCTGGCAAGACTGGCCCGTACGGGCAGGGGTACCTTTACCTTTACCTTTTATTACTATATAAAACCCTTAACAGCTTGGGACCAGTTTACTTAAAGGATTGCAATATATGCCCACTCTACCATTTCAGCCTATGGAACTTGCATTTTTACAGTGCGACATAATTTCCATTCAGGCACTTGCAAGCAAATGATTCCTTCAATGCGGCAGTTTGTTAAGTATATGTTTCTAAATAGCTGATTTATATATTTTGGACCATTTTGTCAATTTTATTTTAAAGGATTGCTTTGATTGGTATTTTAAAATGAGTGTTTTAGATTTGCTTGTTTGTAAATCACAGCAGTGTGTACGTTTTGTTAAATGAAATGAGTAAATAGAGTGCACATTTTACATCTGCATCTGTGGGAACAGGAAGAACTGTTGCGACACTGTAGCGCTTAGCGGATCAGATCAGCATTAAAGCGCTTAGCGCCCCTTCTCTTGGAAAAGGGGGGAACCTGCAGGAACTCGCAAGCATTTGTCTTGCGAGCAGCCCATAGAAATTCGTTTTGCGAACACCTCCAAAACGGAAAACCTTTCGTCTAGCGGTTTCCGTCTGCGAGGCATTCGTCTTGCGGCACCACAGAGAACACATTAAATCGCTGTCTCTTAATGAGCTGTCTAAATGTGTAACCCACACACACCCAGAGTGAGCCAACAATTTTGGTGTGACATCTTATTCTCAGTGTGACCAGCACATCTTGGAATACTTAATATGCAGTGAAAACATCGGCTACCACCCCTCATCCTTTAGGATCTGTCCTGAGTTCTAAGTTGATGGAATTTCAACCGTTCCCCAACACTTTGGTTGGTGTTCAGATACGACGAAGCAAAACTCCATGTACTGTTATGAAAGGGAAAAGAAACCAATCCTATTTACATAAATAGCAGGATGTTCAGTGGTGTACCCCTGCACAAGGTTTGTCTCCTTGTGATGAGAGAGTACGCACTAGGGACTTCCATTGTATTCCTGTAACATTAATGTAAGCATAGTGGACTGAAGCTAGCAGCACAATCACTAATCATGTAGGAGTTTCCTGAAACTCCCACTGAACTCCCAGTGATCTTACTCTGCCCAGATTCTAAATGCTGATGCTGAAGAACTTATACTCCCATCTTCCAGACAGGAAGGAGGTTGCCTATTCAGGGAAGCATGGCTCACGTAAAGGAAATATCTGCTGATAATCTCTCACCATTAGCCATTTCTGGGCTGGTTCATTTTTACGCTTTCTTCGCATGCCAGGTCTAAGTTTCTGTTGCAGTAACTTTTGGATTTCATTGAGTGTTTGAAAGTCACGAACGGATTGGGGACTTTGGTCCCAGCAGTCTTGGTAGCAGCCTTCAGAAGTGCTCTTAAATGAAGGACCAGGTTAGGAATGTGGCATGGCTGGGCTCTCCAGATAAAAACGTCTAAAAGACAATGATCTACATTGTTTTAGACTGCATATATAGTTGTGTCTAAGCCCTGATCTGGTGCTTGATAAATGAGTCTAAATGTTGCAAAACCTCCAAACCTTCCAAGCTGGCTTGGACATTGCATTCCACCTTGATTCTTTCTCGTGAAGAGGGGGAGGCATTAATTCATTTGTAGCTAGAGGTTCTCGTTCTTGTTGTTTAACCCTTGGAGGCTTCCCCATCTGTTTGCCATGCAAAGAAAAGCAATGACTGCTGACTTTCCCATCTATCAACCAGTATGGTGTAGTGGTTAAGAGCGGTAGTCTGGTTATCTGGGGAACCGGGTTCGCGTCTCCGCTCCTCCACATGCAGCTGCTGGGTGACCTTGGGCCAGTCACACTCATATGAAGTCTCTCAGCCCCACTCACCTCACAGAGTGTTTGTTGTGGGGGAGGAAGGGAAAGGAGAATGTTAGCCGCTTTGAGACTCCTTAAAGGGAGTGAAAGGCGGGATATCAAATCCAAACTCTTCTTCTTCTTCTTTGGGGAGGAGGGTAGAGGAGATCAGCTTTTTTGCCTCTTGTGATGGTCCCCTTACCTACTGCCTTTAGGAAGAAATGGGGATATGATTTAGCTAACACTGGCGGGAGTTGGGAGTCGAGGAATGGTGCCTGTGGATTTAATGATGGGCGTCGCTACTTTCTCTCAGAATTTGACAGCAGGAATAAAAAGAACTGGAGCCTCTGTTTGAAGACTCTCTCCTCTCTCTCTCTCTCTCTCTCTCTCTCTCTCTCTCTCTCTCTCTGTGTGTGTGTGTGTGTGTGTGTGTGTGTGTGTTTGGGAATCTTAATCACAATGTGAAACTGAGATTTTCATTTATTTAAAAAGTTCTGCCTTTGATTTTGAAGGTGCCCCTTGCAGCAATTAAAATATCAAGTTTTTCTCTTTCTTTCTCCAGGGGTGTGTTCTAAAACTGAATAATTGGGTTGAAGAGCACATTGCTATGCTTGGAGGGGTTGGGATTTTTGCTGGAGTTGCACAGGTAAGCATGAAGTGTTAAACTGAAGTGTTAGACTGGTCTATCAAGTAGATCTAGATTTAAACACTATAGATGGGTGTTATTTGATGTTGATGTTGACAAATGTGAGAGCCAGGCTTTCAGATTTAGAAATAAGGACCAGCCAGATGCATTTGGGTTTTCTAAAAATGTTTTTTTCTAATGTAAGGTGACAATCCTTATGATTCACATTGGAAGCAATGAGCCAAGTGGTTGCCCCAGTGTATATATAAAAAAAATACATCTAGAGCAAAATAATTCTGATTACTGTCTATTGTGTCGTCCTTCTGTGTTTCAAGTACCCAAATACCCAATCCTAAATTTTCTGTATGTTCTGTGCTTTCTTTCTAGCTATTTGGGATTCCATTTTGCTATCTGCTGTTGAGAACGCTAAAAGAAAATTATGAACATATTGAATAAGTTTCAAGAAGCTGATGTGAATTCTGCAGCTGGGATTGGAAGAAAACATTTAACAGTGCTTCACTTTTGGGGGTCCTGCTTGTTGTGTAGTGCATAAATAAAATACTTACATCACTCCAGTGTGGTAGTTCTCAAACGTTCTACCATCCCATGGCCCATTTCAAATGGTTATGCAAATTGAGACCTACTGCTCAAAAAATGGCTGCAGATGGAAGCACCATTTCTGTTGCATCACTTTCTCTCGATATCTGATCCCTCTTTGCAAATTGCTAAAAAAGTTATTCGTGAGTTTCTTCTGTGGAACTTCTTACCACAATTCAGCTTTTCTCAGGGCAGAGATAGTGGCTCTGGAGATATTATGAACCCACCTCCCCATTTCAGGCAGAATTTTATGAGGAGGTGCTGCTGTTGTATAGGTCCTCACCCACTCACCCCACACATTGCCTCTTGGTGTCTTTATGCAGCTCCTATGCTTTCTTCTCCAATCTTCCTTCCATTCTTAGCATGTGCCCTCTGGACCTACCCCAAGCTACCAGTTTCTTTCATTCTTCCTTCGTGCTCCTTTTTTTTTTACATCTATTTCTTTCTCTTAATAAGTTTTCCTCTCTTCTCTTCTTCTTTCCTATTTTGGGAGGTGTGTGTACATGCGTGCGGCGTGCACGCCCCCCCTTACTTACCTTTCAAGGCACCCTCTTGCCCTTTTCCTTGAAGAGACTTCCCTTCTCTGCCTGCCAAAGTTCCCCATCTCCCAACCATCTTTACTTGGTATGTATACGCTGCTGTTGACTTCTCAGCAAAACTGCCCAATGCTTGCTTGTCCTTATGAGATATGGACTCATTGTTAAAACTGTGTTTATGGAAGACAATCTTACTCAGCTACGAGTGATCACCAAAGAAGAAGGTGGTAGCTGCTACCTTGGAGTTGGGCAGGAGAAGCTTTCTGGCTTAGCTGGAGACCAGGTGGGAAGGAAGATTTAGGGGGCTGTGTGTGTGTGTGTGTGTGTGTGTGTGTGTGTGGTCAGAAGGTTCATCAGCATATAACGGGTTGCTTTCCTGTCCTCCTCCCTCCCCGCCCAATCATCCCTACCCTCCTTCTTCCACACTTGGCCAGCCAGTCCATCCATCCAATTGTCCATTTCCCTTATTTCCTCTGCTTTTCTGTCCTACCACCTTGCCTTCTAACCTACTTCCACATGTGGTGATGCCGTGTGCTGGTGGGGTTCTGCTGGCAGTCAGGTGAGGGAGGAGGCAGCAGGCCGGCTGTGGCCCTGAGGCCCACTGCTAATTCCCCAGTCCAGTTTGAGCAGCACTGATCAATTTTTCCCCATGAAAGGATATATGCCCTGCTTAGAGGAAGTGGTGTGTGTGTGTGTGTGTGTGTGTGTGTGTGTGTGTACAGGAGCAGCTCTACCACGAAGTAAAATGAGCTAGCTGCCTCTGGCTTGAACCTAGTCTGTTGCTTTTAGGGGCAATGGAAGACCGTGTCCCAACTGCCAGTCCAGCTGGCTCCTGCACATGGAAAGATGACCGGTGGAAGGGCAGAGTCTTGTCTTGACCTTATTCCCCTCAAGCAACCAAGTATCTTGAGCCACCCCTCACTGTGACGTGCTGGTAATACAGCTGTTCTCCGCAGACAACTCAACAAGGATAACTATGTTTATAATTAAAAACTTCACTATGTAAAAGCTTTCTAGCTTCAACAACAAAGCTTCTATTTATAAGCTCATTCTAGTATAATGAATAACTTATACAAGTTGTTCTGAGAAATGAAGGCAGTGGCTTTGGAAGTTTCCTTTCCTCCTCCTCCTCTCTCTCTTGTCCCCTTTCAGAAATAACTATATAACTACACCTGGAAAATGATGCTAAGTCATTTTAGTACCTTGCAGTTTTTGAATTACAGCAGTCTTGGTAATGGGAACTGACAAGACATCACCTCAGTTAGTTTGGTGGCTGGGACAATGGTAATCAAATCCGAGATAATGAAAAATTGTGTGGAAATGGGAACCAGAAAGATTGGGGCTAAAACGCAAGCTCTCATCTTTTGCACAGGAAATAGTACAATACTGCTTTGATTTCGATCGGTTTCTTAAATGTGATGCAAGCTTTTGATTTCATCAAGCTGAATGTTCCCAAAAGGGGAAGGCTGTTTAATCTTTTCTCACCCACCACCTATTATGAACTTCTGTATGATTAAAACCTTACAGTGCTGCACTGAATTTAGTCTTGATAAGCTAATATTCTACTCTTTCTGTAAACTGGGATCTCAGTAAACCAGGCTACCTCTCTGACATTAGAGTACCTCAGCTACACTGTGGCATCACTATTTCAAATGTAATTAACTTCAAAATCCTTTAATGCATTTCAATATAGGCTAAATGCCATATTTTTAACCCAGCAGTGGTTTAAAGCTCTTTGAGTGGTAGTTTTCAATTGCTTTTCAGATGTCATTTGAATGTGTCAAGAACCTCCATGTTCATTACAAGACCTGAGCAAACATCCCTCCCCCAGCTGCTTTCTATATTCCGAGGGATTCTGTTCAGTTTTTGCCTGAAGGTTGCTCAGGCCTTTGTGGTGAATATATGGAGGTCAAGTATACAAACAAAGCTGCTCCCTCTTTCCTCCCTCTCTATATTCAGATGTGTGAAAAGGGTGTCTGTTGATGGTGGGAACAAAGAAAGGAAAGGCTGGTGGGAGCAAGGAAAAAACGAAGGCAATTGCCTCCAGTGTTGAATTGTGTGTGGAAATCCAAAGGTCATCTAGTCCCACCCTCTGCAATGCAGGAATCACAGCTTAAAGAATCCCTGATGGATGGCCATCCAATTTGTTTAAAAACCTCCAAGGAAGGAGAGTCTACCATTTTCTGAAGTACAAAATCAAGCTTCAGGTGGTGTTTAGATGAAAAATTAACGGTAAATAAAACCCACAGAAAAAGTAGGTTCAATCAATTTATTAACAAATAATTAATAATTTATTAGAAAACTTACATTTATTTACATTCTAAAATTAAAATTTACAGGAATATTTCAGATTTAATCTTCATTTATGTAATGAATAATTTTTTGCTACTAAAACAGCTCTTCATCTTGTCAGTAAAAAAAAAAAAGTGTTACAGCAACAATTCAAAAGTTATACAAATACAAACATGCTATAAAATAACCAGATTTCAATGAAAGAATTTCTCTAGCTTCTTCTGAAATAGCGCATTAAGGACTTGCTGTTTTTTTCAAACTATTCTGCAGAGTCTTTTGCAGTCTAGCTATGTTGGCATCCAAGGCTGCTAGACCATTTTTGAAGTCTTCTTCATCTCTAGAAGTGAATGTTGAAAAGGAAGATATAGTCCATTCAGATTTTCCAGACATCCAGTCAAAAGTTGAGAAACTGGAGTCAGGAACAGAAATACCAGGGCCTTTTTTCTGTGTGTTTCCTTTCTGATGTGGAATAGAAGCATAAAAGAATTTATCAGGCTGAAGTCCATCTGGATCGTCCGAAATCACTTTAGCAGCTTCATTTGTTATTTCTTTTGGCTGCATTTGGCATCTGTCTCCCTCCAGCTTTGCTGTCTTCCCCTTACTTTCAGACTTATTTTCCGCAGTCTTTTTGGGACTAAAGCTACCATACAATTTATCAACAGCCTTTGCATTGTTGCCCGGCATCCCAAACTTAATTGGCTGCTTGGTATTGGCCAACCCAAAGTTACAGTCCCGTTTGGGGGGAACTTGACACTGTGTATCTGTCCTTTCAGCTGCTGCAGCTGGTTTCTGAGATGGACTGCTACTCAATGGAATGTAAATAGTCTCATCCGGCCCATGCCCTTCTACCAAAGTACTTGAATTGCTGGCTGCTTCAACTTCAGGCTTTAGGAAGGCAAAGCTTTTTGGAGCCACTATTTCCCCTGCAATAGGGCTGTTTTGAGGAGGGTCTTCAGTTGCCCTCATGTCATATCCTTCACCTGGTACCTTCATCTTACTTTTTGGTAGGACGGGCTCTGCCAGAATAGGACTGGTTTCTAACTTTTTAAGGTAGCTCATTACAGAATCACTTAGAGGGTATGCGTCGGCCTGCAGCTGTTTTTCATGAATTTCCAAGAGTGCTTTTGACAGACTTCTTTCCTGTTTTGGTTTGGCAGTGTCCACAGTGAGGTCCGAGAGAAGTTTGGACATACTGCCCTGCAGAGCCCTGTTGAGAACAATTCAGTAGTTTAATTTTAATTAGGACAAGGAATATGACAAAATCCAAGATCCTGAATTTGTCTCAAGCAGTTAGGCTCTGGTTGTAGTTTTATACCCACTTACCTGTGGGTATAGACATGGTATACTGTACCTTTTTCAGCATACAGTCCACCTTGAGACAATACAGAAGTTAGTAATACTGTTTAGTCATACCTATACTGAGCTTTTAAGTAAAACTTAAAAACTATGACTGCAGGTTGGGCTTTTTTGGTGGCCTGTCTTAAGTTTATCTTCCAAACGACCATTGTATTGAAGTAGAACATTATCTATTAGTTTTGTAAAGAGGCAAACACATTTAAACTTTCATTGAAAATAAAAGAAAAAGAAAACTGAACATTTTGTGTGTGTGTGTGTAAGTAAATGTCATAACCGTGTGGGATGCCAAGTGAGGATGCCAAGTGAGACAGGCTATAAGTGAAGGGGGGTCTCTAGAAATGGGGCCATGTAAATACAACCGTACACCCAGCTGTCAGTGCCTTCCAACAAGTCACACGGGCCAAAACCAAGTTGGCCACAGTTACAAACACTGCTAGGAAGAAAAGCGCTGCCCCTTCCCCCAAAACTAGTGATCAATGGTTGGTTTGTCTCCCTAATATGCCCTAGTATATGTGGTGTTGTTGTTGTTGTTGATATTAATACAGTGGTACCTTGAGTTACAAATGCTTCAGGTTACAGACTCCGCTAACCTAGAAATAGTACCTTGGGTTAAGAACTTTGCTTCAGGATGAGAACAGAAATTGCACAGCGGCAGTGGGAGGCCCCATTAGCTAAAGTGGTGCTTCAGGTTAAGAACAGTTTCAGGTTAAGAACGGACCTCCAGAACGAATTAAGTTCTTAACCCAAGGTACCACTGTAATAATAATAATTTAACTGTGTTGTGTTCTAATGTTGCGCAATGTCCTGATATATCATGTTATAGTGATATAGAAATATTTCTATAAATAAAAGCCAAACGGCCACCATTCAGCCTTAAAGGAAGAACTAATGCTGCAATCAGAAGTCTTTACTAAGAGACACGCCTCCCATAACCAATTGCAACAGGTGTCTGGGGAAGAGCGGGAGAACCCCCCCCCTTGCCCATTGTTATGAATGGAATGCTTGCAACTTGAAAAAATAAATTGATTAAATGCTGCATCACTCTCTCCTGGAACATTCAAGGAAAATTCCAAAAACAT